ACGCCTTTTGACCTGAGGGTCCCATCTTCCAGCGTCATATCTTTTAGCCTTTTGTTTCTGATCATGGGGTTTTCTTGGCAAAGATACTGGAGTGGAATTGCTGGTTCCTACTCCAGGTGGATTGCATTTAGTCAGAACTCTCCACTATGACCTGTCTGTCTTGGGTGACCCTGCATGGCATAGCCCATAGCTTCTCCGAGTTGCTCAAGCCCCTTCGCCACGACAAGGCAGCAATTAGATTACTGTAATTCTCTCTATGTGGGGCTGCCTTTGGGACTGCTAGAGGGACTGCAACGGGTCCAGAATGCAGCGGCCAGACTTCTGAGAAAATTCCAACATATCTCCCCCACCCTGGCCGCCCTACACTGCCTACCTGTTTTCTTCCGTACCAGTTTCAAGGTGATGATACTAACCTATAAGACTCTAAATAGTTTGGGACCTTGATATCTGGCCGAGCGTCTCCTTCCAGTTAGCTCTGCCCGTCCTATAAGATTGTCACAGGCAGGGCGGCTGAGAGTTCTGAGCCTGAGAGAGGCCCAGAAAGCCACTAGAAATCAGGCCTTCTCGGCAGTAGCGCCACAATTATGGAACTCTCTTTTGCCTGACGTCCGCCTGGCCCCTTCACTGGGCATATTCAAAAAGCTACTAAAAACCTGGCTATTTAGACTGGCCTTCCCTGAATAAACTACACTCTGATACAATAGTATCCAATAATATAACTTCTATCATACAGTACTGCCATGTTCCATGTTTTTATTTTTGTCTATGCTTCTAATTGTATTTATTGTATTATAATTTTATCCTCACTTCCCTTTGATTTTTTATTTTTACCCCTATGTATTAATGTTGATATTTGCTATTCTGTTACTCTGTTTTTTATTTGCTGTAAACCACCCAGAGTGGCCTTGACTGCCAGATGGGTGGTTAAGTACGTAAGTACATAAGTAAGTAAGTAAGTAAGTAAGTACTAGACACCATTATTGCAGGGAAGCTTCCTCTGACTCTCCTCTATAAGCCCTCCATGTTTGGTGAAGACTGGGTTTCAGATGTCTGAATTATACACCCACAAAGAGGGGGTCCCCCAGGAAGGTTCACCACCCCCCAGGCACCTAGATACACCAACATCACAGAGAAGCTTCTACTGACTCTCCTCTACAATCCCTCTAAATTTGGTGAAGATTGCATTTCCCCAAGCCATCTGTTAAAGGACACTTTCCTGAGGGCCCCCCCTTGCAGGTGCATAACCCAGATGTTTGAAACCCAAACTTCACCAAACTTGCGGGGCTTGTAGAGGAGAGTCAGGGGAAGCTTCCTTGCAAATTTGGTGTTTCTAGGTGCTGGGGGGCATGTTCTCTAGGATTTTAAATTGACAAATTGATGTCAGAAAAAAATCATTAAATTGTAGGGCTTGACAAATCACAAATCAAAACAAATCAGTTTTTCTGATTTGTGGTCCATCTCTAATTGCAGCAATTCCCCGAAGGCCTTTTTCTAGAATAGCCAGTCTTCAAGTGCTCCTAGAACATAGTGCCCAACCCTCTCTTACATTACCTGGCATAAAAGATGTCTACCTTTGGCAGCACACCATTTGAGGACAGCAAACTCTGCACCATATTGTCATGCTTTAGCTAAGAAGCCCCCTCTTCCAGAACACAAAATGTTTATGTATAAAATGGCTCTAATCTTGATTGTGTTTCAGGCTTCAGAAACATGTGTGGCATGGCTCTGACTCCAAGGGGCGGCGGCTAACGGAGAGCTACTGTGAGACGTGGCGGACGGATGACGCTGTGGTGACAGGTCAGGCTTCCTCGCTGGCATCGGGTAAGCTCCTGGAGCAGAAGAGCAGCAGCTGCAAAAATGCCTTCGTTGTCCTCTGCATCGAGAACAGCTTCATGACCTCCTCCAAAAAATAAAACAGCACACAACAGAAGCGCTGACTGCAAGCGGAAGATGGGAGCCCCTATGTATCCCTTAAAGAATGGAGGAACAGGCCATGGTACCCCCACCCCCACCCTAATCAGGATGATGTGCCCAGCTGATTCCATAATATATCAGTTAAACAGATAAAGAAGCAGAAAAGAAAAAGAAAAAGCCAAAGAGTATCTTCCTGTAATTCCTAGCACACATCTGGTGTTGAATGTTTTTGTATTTTTTTAAAAAAAATCCTCTTCCTGGCATGGCTGTTCTGAATAGTACCTGCTAGAGGGACTGAAAACAGCACAGGCTTTTGTGCAAGGCAATCTCCAGCCAAATTTAGTACACGAAATGGTCGCTGTTTTTAATCTTGCTCACTTTTACCCTTGAATTGTATTTGTTCTTGTTATACCCTGTGCTGTTTGCCTTCCTTCCTCCATCTTATCCTTTTATATAATTCAGATACTTTTTTTAAAAAGGCAAGACTGAGTGGGAGATGTCAGAAACCATATTTATTTTGGTTGATTTAACATAAGGCACCCTTTGTTAAAGCAGAGAACGGGTGGACATGGCTGTCCTTTGGAGCCTATTATTGTCACTGTAGCCTGTAACTGCCTCTGCTTCCAAAAGCCCTGGATAACTAGGCATTTCCGGTTGTGCCTGGCCTTATTTCAGGCGCAGGGTGCAAGAGCACACAATCTGCTCCCTGCTGGGACAGTGCATGGCCACCATTAAGGCTTTTGTAAACACTGTTGACTTTTTTCTGTGTACCCAGGACAGCCTCAAGGACAAAAATCCTGGCAACAGTGGTGGGGGATGAATACTAGGAATGTGATGGCCGGTCCCTTTTTGGGAACAGTCGCTCTGGATGGGTTTGCAGGATAGCTTCCAACACTTCTGCCTAACTCACTATCTAGCCGGCTTTCACTGCTTGATCATGCATCATTATTTCCAAATATACAGCTGATGGTTACTGTTCTCTTCATAGCCCCCCTTCTGTTACTAATTTGCCTTGTCCTCTGAAAAAATAACCTGTGAGGGGCAGCTGAGATTAAAACCAGAAGTGGTGCTACCTACAATTCAGCCCCACCTTGTTTTTGACCAGTTCTGAAGGTGAGCCAGAAGTGTTTAAAAGTAACAGCTTTATAGCTGATTTTTGCCAATGTGCAGGCGGTAGGTAGAAATGAAACATCTGCCACTAAAAGTATCAGAACTCATTAAACACATACAGTGGTGCCTCACATAACGAGCGCACCGTTGAACAATGAATCCGCATTGCAATGCGGATTTCCCCATCGCTAATGCAAGGGCATGCTCGCATTACGATGGGGGAACAGCTGTTCGGCGGTTCCAAAATGGCCACCGGGACACCCAAAATGGCCACTGGAACATGGGAAAACATCGGAGAACGGTGAGTTTTGGGCCCATTTGGAACGCATTAAACAAAGTTTAATGCATTCCAATGGGTTTCCCCATTCCGCTTAACGATGTTTTCCCATAGCGAAGGTTAATCCGGAATGGATTAACCTTACTATGCGGGGCACCACTGTATTTATAAACCTTTCTCTTATCCTGCCTGCTACTTTTCCCAGAGAAAATGTCATATTTTAAGTTCTCCCAGATATTTTAATAGAAAATGGGTTAATACAGAAGCAAGTGGCAGGCCCATAGCGCTACTCCTGCAGCTCACGTTATGTTTCAGAGCTTAAAGGCAAAGTTCATGCTTCTCTCACAGAAGGTCTCAAATCCAAACCTTCCATTCAAGAGTACCAAGCACAATGAGAAAGATTCCTCTCTGAGGCCCCAGAAGACAGTTTCCCATTAGAGCCGGATGAACCCGCCAAAACGCTAAACTCCACTTTGAACTCTGATCCTATGCCCATGGAATTCCAATCCTGATTGAACCCTGGCCTTCATCAGTGTCCGACCTAGAACCTGCTGTCAGCTGCTGCTCCCAAATCAGAACTAGAAGAGATTCAACTTTGTCCCAGCTTGTAATTGGCTCCCTCACCCAGCACCCACGTGGCAGGAACCACTAGAAGCAAGCCATTCCTAACAGCTATATGCTCAACCACTCTTCCAAAGTATTATATCAGGATGGTGACTGGCACTGTGCTGACACTTTATGGTGTGGGAAGAACAGGAGTACAGACAGATGAACGCTTGGTCGTGTTGCATAGCACTGTTTTATTCAGGGCTAGAAGCGCAGAAAGGCAGGTTCATGACCCAATGGCATTTTAAGCCATCTTAAGGCTGAAATGGATAGTAAAGGAGAACCTGACTTTCCTTGTTCATCAGTTACACTGGGACTGAGTGCCCAACAACCACCTCACAGCCCTTTCACCACTTTCAGGCCAGAAGTCTTAGTCAAGCTGATGTTTGTTGCCTACCTGCTCAATTTTACATTAATGTGCAAACAGGTTGGTTTTGAGAAACCAAGGTGCTAAATTTCTACCTAGCTTTTTTGTTTTTCATTGTCATGAGATTTTATTACTGGGACATTGAAGGGTGGGAGGGAAAGGAAACTGTGCAAGTCACACAATTTTTTTTAAAAAAAGTCTACTGTATTTTGTGAAATTTTAATGCAGTTTGTTAAAGCCTGTGGATCCCTATATCTTTGTCAGTTGTTTTGTGTTCTATAAACTGTTTTTCTAAAGGCACTGAATAAAGGAAAGTATCCTCTTTTAGTCTTTGTGTTTGTAGAAATGTAGAACCTTTCTGTCTCAATCACAGAACACGTGAAGCAATAAGGAGATGCCTAGGAGCAACGTACCATCGCTAATGGTCACTCTCAAGGGGCGATGCCCTGCCTCTCTTGTGCACGACTTTGCCCCTGCATGTGGGGTTCCATTGTGACCAAACCAAAGGGGCTGAAAACAATGGCTGCGTGGAGTGAGGTGGAGTCACATGCTCCTAAGAGGAAATCTTACAGAGTAAATAAAAATGAGTGCTCTGGAAGCCAAGGGCCCATAAAGAAGAACTGAGGGAGCCAGGTGTGTTTAACATGGAAAAGTCTGAGATGTGTGCTATGACTGCCATCTTGAGCTATTTCAAAGTGGAATAGATGTTGGAAGGTCTGGCGCAGGAGATGGATCAAACTTGTTTCCTGCTGTTTGAAAGAGAAAGGCCTAAGGCAATGCATTCAGATTATAAGAATTGCAGGAGCCTCATGGTGCAGTGGTTAAACTGCAGTACTGCAGTCAAGCCTCTGCTCACAACCAGAGGTTGATCCCAATGGATTCAAGGTAGCCAGCTCAAGGTCGACTCAGCCTTTCATCCCCCTGAGGTCGGTAAACAGAGTATTCAGCATTTGGGGGGGGGGGGGTTAATTGCATAATTATAACTATCCACAGAGTGCTCTAGCACTATGGGACAGTATATAAACCAAAGAGTCGAAACAACAAGAAAGGAGGTTTTGAGTAAATGTGGAAGAAACTGGTGATGGACGCTTGTTCTTTGGAGATTTTTACACTGCATTTGGGTGGCTAGCTGTGAATTCCTGCATTGAAAGCAGAGGGGGCTTGATGACTTTTAGTATCTCAACTCCACAGTCAGATGATTTCAAATGCAAAATGCCCTTCGCTCCCCTGAGATCAGGGGAGAGATACAGCTTGTACATTAAATGGCAAATCACCCTAGCCAAGTCCTACTTAGATCTGGGACCATTTTACAAGGCTGCCTGATTTAGTAGCTCCACTCTTTTCAAAGGTAAAAGGCACACAAGTTCCAGGCCAATTTATAAAGCCACTGGGATGAGCATGGAGAAGACTGCTGATTGTATGTAGTCACTTCCAAAGATGTGATCCATATTCTGCTCAAATATTTCCAGACGCACTGTGCTTACATTCTTGGGGTGGCATGTGTCGTCCTACGACAGTGAAAGTAGCTTGAAAATAAATCCATAACAGGACGAGGTAAGGTAGGCTAATGACAACAAGAAATAAACCAGAGCCACAGGAAAGATTTAGATTTCAGTAGATGACCTGGCTGTGCCTGTATTTGGAAATGATTGTCAAATATGTTTTGGTGCTTCACTGTCCCTTGTGGCTGTGAGGCTGTACTGCTGGGATGGGACCCCCCACACTCTACAGCTGATGGCAACAGAGATACTAGTGCTAAACACCAGTTAGAAAAGGAATTCAGTTTTCTTGGAAGAGGGACGCGGAATGAACAAATGTTAACTGGGAATCAAAGCAAAGTACATCTAGAGGCATCAAATTAATTTTTAAAAAAATTTTAAAATAAAAAAATTAAAACTTATTTTTAAGTGCTTTACACCCACCTTGCTCTGTCTGCTGACTCATTTACAAGCTAAGCAAGAGAACACTGGTGTTTAAATTTAAATTCATCCAATCACAGGATGCCCATCCAGAACACTGGCAAACAGTGTCTCTGCAATAGCTCCTTGGTTCAGTGGACGGTGCACAGAACCCATGTCAAATGCCTGCACAACACCCAGGGAGGATGAGGAAACAACAGCATATGAGCTACAAATTGTCTGTACACATAGCCTTTCTTAAAGGCAAGCGAGGCTCTCCACCTGATCCCCCGTCCCCCAGTTTTGCTGTAACAAGACATTAGATGTCTTGACCTTGTAAGTGCTGACTGTCATGCAAGTTCGCCTTGGTCACATCCCAACGGGACGTGTGTGCAGGGAGGCCCTTTTCCTTGCCTCATCCACCATGTCTCTCATGCTTCAGAGCTTGCTAGCGGTGGGCTTCTCTCCTCAACAGGACTGCAGAGCTCCTTGGCCGGTACTGCCTCCTGAGACCTCCTGCAGGCATGGTGCCTCACAGCCACGTAGATGGATGCTGCAAGATACCCAGCAGCCAGGAGTGTGAAGTAGCCAAAGTAAATGTAGAACTGGAAAACAAGGAGAGAGAGAGAGAGTACAGACATGCAACAAAATGCCTCGCCCTCAATGCGCAGGGCATCAATGACTTCACACACATGCACTCCCAACATACACGCACTCCTATTTTTGAAGCCCTCTCCAACAACAGATTTCCTTTTACCCAAAGAAGATGAATTGCTGCTCCTGGAAGCATCCAGGATTGGGAAACTGCCCATTAAAGCAAGCAAGATAGAGGGTCTTGCATTGGGGAGTGGGGGCAAGGTCTGAATTTTATTTTATTTTTTAAAACAAGAAGTGAACTTCCATAACAGCTTTGTGGCAAAACACATTATAATCCAGAGAGGGAGAGGGAAAAAAATTAAAATTTATAGCCCAAAGTTGTCTGGCCATTCCATAGCAGCACAGAAAAAAGCTGGAATGCATCATCAGAATTGCCTTGCTCAGTCATAGCAAAAGCCCAACTAAGCCCAGCCTCTTGCTTCCTACCACTGCTGGGCAAATGATTCTTGGAAAGCCACAGAGTCTGCATGATGGCAGACTTCCCGGCTTATGCCCTTCAGTTTATTGTCTCTGAACACAGATTATCTCTTTCAATGCCACGGATCCAGCTCCTTCCTCAACCACAGCAGCAGCAGGAATTCCACCTAAGCGTCTTGATGGGGTCAAGGGGAAGAAATCCTGCCGCCCTCCTTTATAGTGGTGAGCAGAGAGTGAAAGAAAGAAAGACTAAAAAGCAGCCTTTGGGTCAAGCTCCCTAGTGCTAATCCAAAAGAATGTCTTGCCAAGCTGCTTTATTGATTTTCATTCATGAAGATTTACACCCACTTAAACCTGTGCAAAATGGCTCTTGCTGGTGATGCAAGGTAAATTAGCAAACAGCAACTGCAAGAAGCAATCTGAATCCACGTTTATGGTTTATGGTCGTCAAAAATCTGCCTGGCAGGAAAAGGCTCTGCTTCCTCTTACAAAAAACAGAGGCTGCAATCTGGTGTACACCTCCCTCGGCAGCAGCCTCACTGACTTCCATGGAGGTTTTGCTTTGGAGAAAGTGTGCAAAGAATCATACTGTTGGTGGGCAATGCACAGCATCAAAGCAAAACCAGCAGAACTGGACCAAGGAAAGCAAGAGAGGTCTCTGCTGAGAATTCGGCCCTCCCCTTGACTTCACTGGGGTCCACTGCCTGTCAGGATTCTCCACTTGGGGTAATTCGTATGATCTGGTTCATCCAAAAATTTGTAGAGCCTGCCTAAAAGGAAAATAGCTGGGTTTGGTTAAATGATGGCTGGCACAACCACAGCTTTGAAAAGTGAGATGGAGGACGATGTGCCTGAGTCCCTCAGCCAGCACAATCACTCCTCCAGGAAGGTAAATGATTTCTCCAAGCTCTGATCAGAATCTCAGGGTAATTTTGTGCTCCTTACCTGAGGGTGGACTGAGAGAGCCAGTCCTCTCTTATCTGTGACAATGAGGGTGATGACTGTCTTGAGTACTGTAGCAAGGAAGGTGTTGATTCCAAACACCAAGGCACACAGTTCTTTGGTCAGAGAAGATGCAATCTGGAAGCTTTTAAGCAGAGAGAAGAAAAAAGGCAAGTCACTTTGGCCAGCAAGAACAGCAGACAACAAGAACAATGAAAAATAAATCACTTTACAGGCCAGGGGCTCATTTCACATGCTGCTGCAGCAGCAGAAGCAAGTGGGAGGATTTGCAATTAGCGAAGGGTGTTGTCATTTAAAATCTGGAGGTGTTCTGCTGCAGCACAGCAGGGACTAGTAACTAGGGGTTGCGCTTTGGAAAGCAGCTCAAAAATAAGGGGAAAGGTTTTAGAAGCCATAACACTTTGTTACCAATACTAGCAAAAGACTTTAAGGTTAGATGGCCATAGTAGTTAGCATGGGACAATACGGAAGACCATCACGGACAATTCATTTCAATCCCGGCCACTCCAGCATTTCCAACAGATTTCTTCATACTGTTCAGAGCATCAGACACTTGTCAGAAGGCCTCTCAGAAAACAGCTAGTCGTTTCAACCACTCCTCCAAATCCACATTGCTTAAAAAAATGGCCACACTGAGAGAGGCCAACAAGAAGGAATTAGAGACCTTCTCAGTCTAATCCTTGGAAAAAGCTCCCAATTGAAGTACGCCAGGCTCCTCCCCTTCTGATATTCAGGAAATTAGTGAAGACAGAACTGTACAAAGCTGACTTCAATAACTTAACCTTGAAAACAATTGATACCAATTTTTCATTATTTTTCCCTTTTTTCCTTTCTTTAGTTTAATTTTAGATCTAGAACTAAATTACCATATGGATTGCATTGTTGTATGAGGTCACTGTATTTTTTTAAAATTTTAATTTGTAAACCAATTGGGTAAAACAATTAGCTGACAGCTTTGGCATCCTTACAGGGGAAAAAACCCTACATAATGGTTGAAAACCTGTTGCTGTATCTTACACAGTGTAAGGCTGTGTAAGATCCTTCTCTCCCCAAAATACAGAAGCTGCTGTGTAATCCCTTTCCTCATCAGGAAGCCATGGAAAATAGCAGGGGGGGTTAAGTCTTTGATTTCTGAAAAAAAGCTGTGTTGATGTCATCAGCTTCATGTGGCATATGATACTGCAATGTAATAAGCCCTTTATGAAATTTCTTGGACTATAACTCCTAGCATCTTTAGGCATCACAGACAAGTTATGAGTAAGCAAACAATCTCCTCCCATGTCAAAATGATAGAAATTAAAATCTGTTTGTGTAGGTCTTCTGGGTGCCCATCGCCACCAGCTCACTTAATGCCTACATAGTCCTCATGTCGTTCTCACCACTTACATGGCTATGGGAACAAGAAATTGGTAGGAGCCTCTGAAAAGGATGTAGCCTGTGTAGCACAGCCAGATATTGCTGGTTGTGCTCATCAGCAAAAGGAGACCCGCCTGAAATGCTGTCACGAGAGTTATCATGAGCTCCGACCAGCGTGTCCAACGGATCTTCACGTAGCCCGCAGCAAAGGCGGTGATGGCCCCTGGGGAAAACACACAGTGTTGCCAGGAGATAACAGCACCAGCAGCAAAACCACCACATAGTATTTACCCACCATCTTAATGCATTAACATCCCAGTAAGTGGGACTGAGAAAACTCTGATCACTAGGAGCTCTCACTGGCCTAGCTTGGGAGCTGTTCTTTTTTCTTTGTCACTAGAGCTACTTTTCACTGCAATGAGCAGATTCATCCACCTAAGACCAAAGTGAAGACAACAATCAACACACAAAATTAGCACGTTCCTGCACTTAGCAGCAACCAACCAGGTCCCATAAAGTGCAGTACAGCTCTCAGAGGTTTAACTCGGCAAAAGAGAAACTGTCTCAAGCAGGCCGTTAGGATCTTTGAGAAAACCTAAGGTCCCTGTTTATTATATGTTATAGTTTACTGTCACTTTATATTATACCTGTAAATTCCCACCTACTGGCACCAATCTGTAGCACCTGGGATGCAATTAAAACCACGGAAAGCCTGGTTTTTAGAATGATATAAATCTAACAGCATTTCCGAAGACGGATAATGCTATGATTACAACATAGGATATGCTAGTGGTTGGGAAACTGCAGTGCCCAGGCCATGGAGCAAGATAGGTTGCTTAAGAGAACAGCCGGGCAGCTAAAACTGCTTATAAACAGCAGCCCCGTTGCTGGAGTGTCTGCTCCTAGCGGTGCCTCCTTTGACTGCCAATGGCCTTTCATGGTACAGTATTTCTAGTTGTAGATGCCAGGGACTAAGCCTCTGTGTGAAGAATGTGTGTTCTGCCATTGAGCCAGCACACACCTAGATGGGGGTGAATCTTTGGGGCTTACCATGCACACTTGTAAATGAGCCAGAGAAGGGGTGGGTAACACATGACCTATGGGGCTGCATGCAACCCACAGGACCATCTTTGTAGCCCTCCATCCCTCTGCCAAATTTAGGGGGGGGGGAATTCTCTCAGAAAGTCCTCTTATGTCCATGAAGAAATATTGAGAACCATTTTGTTTTGTTCCCTCTAGCAACCTTGGGACCGTCCATACCCCACTTTTTAATTAAATTATCATTTTTTGTCCAGTAGAGGGTGCAAGAGGCTTTTGGGGGAGTTAGCCCACCTTTTTTAATTAGACTTTTTTTCAGATAACAAAATTCACTGTAGGAAGCTTTAGGGTACATAGCCACCACTACTCTCATGTTTTGCCCTCAACTGACTTACAGTGACACTAATAGGACTTTCAAGGTAAATGGGAAATTTAAGAAGTGGTTTTACCAGTTGCACATCCCCAGTGAGTGTCCATGGCTGGGCACAAGTCAGAATATTTGGATGCATCCTCATCTTCACCTCTTTGACATTGAGGCCCTTGGGCTACCAGCAAATCTGAAAAATGGGCCTCCGCCTCACTGAGATTGCACCCCCTTTAAGTTAGAACTTAGACAAGTTACTTGATTGGACCACAATTCCTAGAACTTCCCAACCAATGCAGATTAACTTTTCTAGGCTCTGGAACTAGCCAGCAGGTACACATTGTGGATGTGCAGTGGGGCACATCTCTTCCATAAATAATACGGCCAGTGTCCTGTTGCTAGAACAGATAGAGATGGCTTATCTCTCCCCATCATTTGAGCAAGGAGGAATCATCCATCAACCCCTTTGGGTCATCCAATCACACGGATTGATTTCCACAAACATGGCAGAACATTTCTCAGTCTCCACAATCATGGGAATCACTTCCAAGTAGTGTGAGAGTGTTTGGGCAGGGGGACCTCATCACATGCTCCATGCAAGGGGATCACTGGGGTGCATGCCATGGAGCACAGTTCTGAATGGGTGAAGCAATATTTAAGTCCCATTTCAGCACCACTTGCCTTTGCATGAAGATGTCCTAGTACTGGAGTTTAGGAAAGTCCGCTAGGAGGACTCATGGTCATTGGAAGCTTGAGCACAATTAAGTAAGAAGAGGGAGAGATCTCATGTGCACCAAACATAAAGTGTGAAGAGAGGGGAACACATTATATACCCAAGAGTGTAGAAGCTGCTTCCACCCCTCCATTGTACACCTTCCTGTTATCAGAAGTGGAGTAAATTTCATTCCATAAAATGTGTACATAATACAGTATCAGGTAGTAGCCGGCAGAATTGAATATCCACCAGAGAGACCAAAGCCTCAGTTGGGGCAGCTGCACCATGGTGGCCAGCTCCTTTAACATCCGAACGAGGAACAGGTTCTGCCAAGCGGAGGCCTTATCCCACGCCGGCTTCCCAGGCACCCCAGGGTTCATTTTATCCAGCTCAGAGGGAGAAGAACCATTGCAGACCGGGTCGTTCCTGTTGAAGAAGAGGCTGCGTTTGGGGCGTTCCAGGAAAAGAGTCAGGATCAGCCCAAAGCACATAAACCCCAATGAGAGATAGTTCAAGGTCATGAAGCCAGTGCCCCCTACAGTCACACAGAGCTGCCCCAGCACAGAGCTGGTGAAAACCCCCATCAGCACAGAGGAGCGAGAATAACTGGCCATCCGCTGATAGCGCGAAGGGGAGACCAGGGAGAAGATGTAGGAGGAGTAGGCGATTCGGGCAGCCATCGTGATGCCATAGAAGAACTCCATGAACTGCATGGCGAGGATGCTGCTGCCAAAGATCAGCAGCAGCCAGATGGAGATATGGCTCAGGCTCTGCACCACCAGCACTGGCTTGTAGCGCAGGTAATCCGTCAGGAGGAAGATGGGCACCAGAACGGCCATGTAGGAGTAGGAGAGGACAGGAGTAATTTCATTGGTGACCTGCAAGACAAAAATCAAAACAAGTGTAATGCTTTCTCCAGGGAAGAACCAGACCACCCCCACCCCAAGACACCTCAAGACACACCAAGCCACGGACGGACAGACGGACAGGCTAGAAAAAGTCTAGTTCAGCTAGGAGGCAGGCACATCTACTCTCTCAAATTCTCCTACAGCCACACCAAACAGGCCTTTCCTTCAGCACACACACACACAGAGCTGCTGATCTTGGCACCTTCTCCCCACAGTCCTCTCCGAGCATCAAGGGCAAAGGCCTTTTTCATTAGTTACATATTTATACAAATACTGACTTTTTTTTCATGCTTCCAGAGCTGCATCCAAACAATATCACCATGCAAGAGTTGCATGCACACATATATTTTTTGGGGGGGACGGCACCCTTGAATACGCCTTGGCATGCTAGATGAGTGAAAAGGAATGAACACAGACAACCTAGGGTGGGGAAAAGGGAAGAAGAAGAGAACACAGTGTTGTCACGAGAGAAAGAGAGCTACAGAATTATACAGCTGTCTTAAAATTTTCTCAGGTCCAAAACAGAAAGCTGGCAGCAGAAACTGATAGAGAGATCACATTATTGAACACAGCCAGTAGTGGACACAAGTGTGCCCAACACACATCAGATGGAGAGAGTTAAAAATGGAGGAAACAGCCCAATGAACACTGGGTCCAGAATGCTGACTACTGGTCTATCTATGCAGCTGCAGAGATTTGATCCCACTTTAACAGTTAGGGCCCCAATTCATTGGAATCCTGTAAAATCGTCCTGGCAGTGGTGATTTTCTGTACTTAAAGACTACCCTCCCCCTGCCATCCCAAAGCTTCCATGGCTTCCTGATGATGAACAGGATTGCACAGGAGTTTCAGGTGAGAGGTTGGAAGTGTTTCATTTCCAAAAAAACCACTGCTGCTGCTGTCATCATCCTTATGTGGTGTAAGTTCGGGCAGCAGGATTTCAGCTTCTGTTGTATTTCTGGCATAGGAACTAGAGTTCTCTGAGGAGAATGTTAAGTCCCTCACCAAACTTCACAACCTAAGACTTCACAGGATGGAGCTACAGCAGTTAAAATGGAATTGCCTTACACTTTATATGCACTATACATATAGCCTGGCTATTGGTGAGCATACATGGGGATGTGGGGTGGAATGGAATGTTCGGACTCTGGCGCCTCAACAAAGGCACTCCACACCGTGATCTTTGATGAAAGAATCTCACCTCTCTGCTACCTAATGTTTTGCTGAGGGGTGCAGGAGATCTGTAACTTTACAGAAACTCCCATGAGTCCCAACCAGCACGGCAATGGCAAGGCAATAAGGTAATCACATTCCAAAACATTTGAAGGGCCAAGGGTTCCCCTGTCACAACACGAAGGTGGGCATTTTTAAGACATCTGCCCTTTATCAGAGGTAAGACTAACTGTAACCACTAAGTTTTAACTCTATCACTCCAAGCCCCATGCAGAAAGCTGCAACAAGAGACAGAAGATGGGACTCAAAATGTGGTGGGCTACATCCCACAGACCCAAAACTGCAAAATGCAACTGCAGCAACATTAACAGGAGTTGACGCCTGCCTGACAGGGAGTCAGCAGAAGGCTTTCCCCTGTGTGGCTCTGAGACTGTGGGAGGCAATCCGCTCGGAGCTGTGATCATTTCCCACTCTCACAGCCTTTAGAAAGGGTGTGAAGAAAGGTCTTCTTCAATTGGCTTATGATACTGCTTAATTTGTTGGGATAATTTCAACTGTTTTCCTAGTCTAATTGATTTTACTAGTTTATGTTTTGTTTAGTTTCATTTGTTTTTAACAATCCGATAGCTCTATTTGTTTTTACCTGTTGTTTTTAATGTTTTAAGATAACCGTAAGCCACTTACAGCATTACCCAAATAGTAACGGAAAGGTGGGCTAGAAATGTAGATGAACAACAACAGGGTCCTTTCTCCTCTCTCGCCAAAACTCATTGCAGGCAGTCTTGCTGTTGGGTAGAGGAAAAAGGGGATCTGCAGCACACGGACACAGAACTATAGGAAGCTGCTTTAGATCCACTCAAGTCATCGGTCTATATCTAGCTCAGTATCATCTACAACAACCAGCATCAGCCGTCCAGGATTTCCCATCCCTATCCAAAGAGGCAGAGGACAGAAGTGGGGACCTTTTGCCCACAAAAAATGTGCTCCACCTCTGAGCCATGGATGGCCTTTGGCTCCTGGTTTGGTAGATTTTTGGCTCAGGGCCCTTGTTGTTTGGGACTATGTTATAAATCTTCTGCCAAGCCAGGAGTCAAAGTCCTTCTATGTCATCCTTCCACCTCACTGCTCCTGCAGTGATTCACAGCTCTCGTTCCACATATACACTATTCTACTAGCAGAGGTAATATTAATTTCTACCTAAAGTTAATATAGTCAGAAAGCTGGATTTTTTTTTTTTGGACAAAGATACTCTTCCCTCTCTAAAGTTAATATAGTCAGAAAAGCTGGATTTCTTTTTTCTTTTTTCTTTTTTTTTGGACAAAGATACTCTTCCCTCCCACTGCTAGTCTTCCTCAGAAAAATCACAATAGCTAAGCTTCTGTTGCTTAGCACAGTGAATTACACTACAGCAGCCCCTTGGATCAGTGGGGATTTGGTTCCATTGAGTCAACTAGGTCTTCTATAGTTGCGACTTACTATGCTAACGAGAGTGGACCCATTTGGGTCAATGGAAGAGTTGACTCACCAAATCCCCACTGATTCAGTGGGCCTACTCTACCGTGATATAGTGAGGTACTGTATAGCCTTTTGGCCATTATGTGCTTTCAGCCAGAATCTAGCTGAAAAACTATACCACCTTTAACCTGACCAATGTAAATTTCAGCTGTTGACTGCTCCAAGTGAAGAAGTCAATGTAAGGATTTGCTGTTGCAGGCCGAGTCACACAACTGCAAGAGCAAAAGTTTACAATGCGGCAATTCACAGCTGAGACTAATGAGGATGGAGTTATACTGGTGGGCAGAAAGAATTTGATTCTAGCCACAGTTTACCAAGCTATAACAGGTATGAGTTGTATTCCTTCCTCCTCAACACAACTTTTTTACTATGGAAACATATTTCTGACTGACCTGCCACTAAAACTGCATCAAAGAGTTACATGATTTGACAGGAAAGTTCACAGCTGTTTTGGGGGCCTGGAGATACTAAGCGTCCCACTGCCTCCTCTTTTCTACATTTGCTTACAGAAGAAAGACAGAAGAAAGTCTGAAGAGGAGAGGTTCCTACTCCCATGTGTGCCAGTACCTCTTCTCCTTTTCAGACTTGTGGCTGCTTGCATGAAGAAAGCAACGGCAGAAGGAGACAGGGCTCGGGGCACCTCCCAAACCTTGCTGACAATGCTGGACTCACTAAGAACTGAAGACGGCTTAACTTGAGCATGGACTTTGATGGATTAAAACTCAATTTCGTAGATGCATGGAGCACAACGCGAGAGCTTCCAATATACACAAACACGCTAAGGTATGGGAACAGAACAAAGCTGGATTTATTAAACAGCCATTATTTTGTGATCCTGTTATCATATCACAACCTCTAATACTGTCTTAGAGGACAGAGGAGTGGGGAGGTAAGTAGTGGGTAAGAGCCAAAGGCAGCACAGAGTGCTGTCCTCTGAAGATGCCGGCCACAGAGACTGGCAAAACGTTGGGAAGAACAACCTCCAGAAGACGGCCAAAGAGCCCGAAAAACCCACAACAACCAAGAGCCAAAAAGTTGCGCTAGCTTGAGCATTTGATCTATGACTCAGGGTACTTGGGCTCAAATCCTCATTCATTGACCAACTCTGGGCTCATCACAGTTGCTCAACTCGATCTACCTCCCAGGGTTGTTATGGAGATAGGCTGAGAGAGGACAACGATATATGCTGCCTTGAGCTCACTGGAGAATCGGTGGGGATATAAAATGCAACAAATAAGCCATGAATAATAACAGAAAAACCTCTATGCTCCAAAGAGCTCACCAACTGTTTTTAATAATTTGTTTTCAGATAGTTTATTGCAACATGCTGAGAAAACCGTCACGAGACGCATTATGGGCAGGCATGCCAATACATGCACACCACTGTTCATGGGAGGCAAAACACTTGGATCTGCTGGGTTATGTAAAAACCCACTGGAACCCCTTGGGTTTGAAAACAGCCACCTACTGGCCACTGTTGCTTAATAACAAAGAGCTGGTCTGTTTCGAAATCTCAGGCTGCTTATATCTGTGGCCAGCAACAAACCTTGTTCCCCAGCCTGCCAGGACCCTTTGCAAAGAAGGTCAGCTAAGCCTCTTCCAGCCTCTTTTTTCTTTTTATGGGAACTTGCTGTTTTTTTCAGCCATGGAAACAAAGCAGCAGGAGACTCTCTTCTCTGGCCAAAGAGAGACGCCTGGGGACATGGTGGGGGAGGGGCAGGCCACATTTATGTTCCCCGAGAAGAAGATCCAAAGAGGAATGACAGATTGTGACGGCCGTTCAGCCTCACCATCCCTGGTCCAGCTTTGTGTGGCATGGACGTGACCCAGCCCTTTCTGCTTCTGCACCGTGAACTGACCGCAGAGGTGAATCTGAGACTTAGCACATCATCCAGCTTTACTGCTCCATTAGGCATTCAAAAGATTAACCACAACCTGGAACTTTTTTTTAAAAAAAAAAGCTTTCCTACATTTGCAAAGATCCTCTCCCCACACAGCTTACCCCCACAGTTTGCAAATAAACTGCCCGGGCCTCATCCTCATGCTTACGGAGTCTGAGCTTTGACCCTTCCAAAGGGCAGAGTTGACAGGCAGGACTAAGGAACAGCATACAGGCTGTCACCCTGAGCCTGGCCACGGCCAGGCTTGTGTGATATAATTTTTTTCTCTTCCCAAACAGCAAGAGCTGCCTTTCACCCACAGCGAGCTCTGAGGAGAATGAACAGAAAATAGAAATTACTCAAGACAAGAGATTGAAGGTTTACATATAAACCCCATGGAAACCATAGCAGCAGATTAGAGTTAGCACAGCCAAGGCCATTGCAAAATCCTGAGGTTCTTCGGGGCACCCTGTGATTTTCTTAAAGTGAAATAATTTGCCTACATGAAGCCTGTAAACTAGAAGATAAATATAGCATTTGTTTTTGCTTCTACAATTCATGTTTAAAATACAGTATATGCAGAACTGCAGCCTAAGACTGTATGTGAAAGCAAGCCCACTGAACTTAGAGGGCTTTTATATATATATATCTTACTGAACTCCATGGGGCTTATTTCTTTTTTATTTATTTATTTCAAATATTTTTATCCCGCTTTTCTCCCTGAAAAGGACTCAAGGTGGCTTACAACATTGAAAGATAATATTTGAAGTTGAAGACAATGAGTATAATATTAGAGCTAAGAACAATAAATATACAAATATTTTTTAAATAAATGGCACGGGGGAAAAAATGGAAAACACAAATAGTACTGTGGTGCCTTGCTTTACGATTGCCCCACATTACGATGAAACCACTTAACGACGATCTTAACGGCAATTTTCCTGGAACGGATTATCATCGTTAAGCGAGGCACCACTGTACTAAAAATCCAATCAAAGCAGTAATGCGTAACAATCTATCTTTTAAAAAAATCACAGGTAGCTAGTTTACTATGGGAAGGCTTGCCTTAAGATAAAGGTCTTTGTCTGCTTTTGGAAGGACATCAAAGATGGGGCCAGTCTGGCCTCCTGTGGGAGGGAGTTCCAAAGTCTGGGAGTAGCAACAGATATGGCTTTTTCCTGTGTTCCTGTCAGATGTGCCTGTGAAGGTGGGGAGACTGAGAGACAAGCCTCTCCTGATGATTGTAACATCGGAGCCAGCTCGTAATGGAAGATACGGTCTTTGAGATAGCTTGGACCCAGGCTGTTTAGGGCTTTATAGGTTAAAAACCAGCACTCTGAATTGTGCCCAGAAGCTGACTGGCAGCCAGTGGAGCCGCTGTAACATACAGTGGTAGTTATTTGGACTGAATACTAAGCAAGCTGGACTGGATTCACTGTCAAATGCATCCATATGATGAAGAAAAACAAACACAGCATGGAACTCACTGAAGCCAGAGAAGATTAGCTTGGTCAATAAATATAAATAAATACAATCTTTTTTTTCACCTACGCATTTGCCCAGTAAATCATTTCAGTAATTACTGATAGTACTGAGGATCATGATTGTTCAACTTATGTTTGTTTTAAAAAAAGACAAGCTGTAAGTGAGAAAAGCAAACGCTGAAACATTTAGACCAAGAACAGCTACTCAAGTTGATTCCCTGCGATGAGCCGAATACATCATATTTCTAGGATCAATAAATGTGCAGTTCCAAGGGACCTGAGTATTCATTCATTCAAAGTCAAAACAAAGGGTGAGGAACATGTAGTCCTCCACACACATGTGCGACTGCATCTCTTACCTCTTATCAGTTCTAACTGGCATAGCCACTGGAGTGGGATAACCAGAAATATATTCCAAGCAGGGCTGGAGGGTCACACATTCCTCATGCTTGGTTAAAACCACGGTTTGATACTGTGCATGAACCACCCCAAAGGCAAAGGTAGTGAGCTCAGCAAGGGATTTCACTGAAATTAGGGATGCCCAAGACACTCTGCATTGAATTCAAGTATCTTTCCATAAAAGAGATTGTGGAAGCCAAACCTTCCAGTGAGCTTCAGAACACCCCCCACCCCAAAGAGAGAGAGACCCTACTACGTAGGCTGGGATGTGGCACAGGAGGTTGATGGAGCAGCTAGTGGGACACATAAGGGAATGTATCACCCATGGGCAAGGGGCACCCATCTGAAATCACAATTTAGATGGGTGCCACCTGCCCATCAGTCATCAGTCATCTATTGGAGTTGGGAACAATAGGAAAGATCATGGAAAAAGCCATCATTTGAATGTGGAACTGAAGATGCCTCCTCCCTTTCCTTCTGCAATTTGCCACAAACTGGCACCTTTCAGATATGTGAGGCTACCATTTCCATCACCCCAGAAACACACTAGGTAGGCTGGGGATAATGGGCATTATAATACAACACACCCAGAGAGCTAAAAATTGGGTAATGCTGAATTAAGCCATATATCACTTCCCTCCCATATGGGAGAACTGTGCATGTTGGTGGTGGGGAGCTCACAAGCCCTCCCCATCTTTCAGGAAAAACTAGCAAGGGAAAGGGGGAGGGAGGGAGTAGCCATTCTGAAACACCTGCCCAAAGATATGAGTTACTTATAAAAATTTCAGCAAAACTGCCTACTGTGCTCACACCCTCACTGACATCTTGGCCACCTGCAACTGTGACCATGTGTGCTGAACTCACCTCTTCCTTTGTGAAGTTCTTCTCTGCCCCCAACAGGTAAGGTGTGATGAAGCTTTCCCCAGGTCTGATCTGGCTCATGAAGCCATAGAAGCAGAGGTAGAACACGAGGAATTTCCATCGTGGATCTGGTGGAGGATCAGGCGGCTGATTTTCACCCTCAGCACCTGACATAGCTCACAGGTATCACTGATCTCAGCAGAACTGAATCTTTTAAACAAAGCCTGGGCACTTAGAAGGGTTCCTGGGCCAGTTACTCTGTTCCACTGCTGCATACGGTCCCCAAGACTCACCACGGTGTCTGCAAGAAAAAGCAGAAAGGTTGGCAACACAACACAGATTTTGGGGGGGTGGGGGGGAGGGACTAATATGAATTATTATTACTTAACCTCATCATCTTGCCAAGAATTTGTTTATTTAATTTTGCAGGCAGAGGTCGAAAAGAACTAAAACCACCCGATCCCCTGCATTGCCTTTTAAAGCACATGATGCTTATTTGCACAGAGAAAAAGAAAAAATTTCAAAGGAATGTTTTAAGGCTGCCAGATCTGCAAGTCAAAGAACCCCATGGACCACCCTGGCGCAGGCAAGTTTATTCAGCTGGACAGCCGAGTTCAGAAGTAGTAAACGATAAGCACCATCTCTTTACCTGCTATTCTTGGGCTCTGCTTTTGCTCCAAAGAGCCTAGAACAAGCCTGTGAGGTTAAGAAATATCCAGGAGTGGAGAAGTCACATCACAACTTGTGCAGCAATCTCAACCAGAATTCCCCACATACAACTCTAGTGGTGAAGCTGCTATGTCACAGTCAGTTGCAGTCAATAAAAGAATGAACAATAGCAGCAAGAATCATATTAAGAGTCGATGAACCAGTCCTTTCACTCCAATTGTCCTCAGAGGCCCTCCTCTGTGTCACCCCCCCCAAAAAAAACCTTGATAAGGCAGGTGAAAACAAGAGTAACCTCTACTGCTGTGGTGTTGTTATGCCTTTGTCAAACTAAACATCTACTTTGGGACTGTTTGGACACCATGCGAACACAGTTTTCCTCTGTTGTAGTTCCAAATGTTTGCTTGAGTCCCTACTATTTCCATTGTTACTTTGGGTTTTTACTGTGTTTAACACTTCTCTGTTTCTATCGTCTGTATTCCTGTTGGCACAATTCTTACACAGGCAAATCTTTTTAAAAATCATTACTATGTAATGATAACTGAATCCTAATACTGTATTACATGGCAATGACTATGTGAAAAGTCATCGCATTGAGAAAAAAGCCAACAAGGATTGGGCACCTACATCCAGGTGGATGTTTTTTTAACTGGAACTCCCATCAGCCTTGCCACCACAGCCAATAGTGATGGGTTATGACTGCCGTCTTCCAAAAACTGCTGGAGGGCCAGAAGTGACCACCCCGAACTTGTATAAAGCCCAAAGGAGAAACTCCTACGACTCCTATGCTCCTCATTCAGAAGTAGGTCGGTGTTGCAATTTCAGAGCCGACCTCACCAATCTTTAACATAGTTAAAGTGTAATCAGAAATCAAAGTTCTTATAAGGAGAATGACAATGCTCTCATTGGAAAGGGGTTTTTAATGTTCTCAAACATGAAATGAACATTAATTTTTAGATACCGTAAAATAATACCCCCCTGAATCTACAGAGAAACACCCAACGAGACACACTCCTCATATGCAGAAAATGCTCCTATCTAAAAAGATACCTCCACCTAGTTTTCAGTCAAGAAATCAGAGAAGAATTTCTGTGCTCCTCTTTCAGAGAGACATCCTCAGACTTGCCAATTTTCATTTTATTCATGTCACCCAAGAGGAAGAACTGTGTAAGCCTAGTCATAGTTATAAAAACATAAATCCCACTGAGTTGAGTGGGCTTACTCATAGGTTAGGTGGATACAGAACTGCAGCAGTATCTCTGGTTCAGGCTGAAAGGCGCCTCTCGCAGCAACGAAACCCGCTTTTAGTTAAAAGTGGCCTGCTTTTAAAATCCGGCATTGACCTTCCTCTACTGTTCGAATCTTTGCTCCATTTTCTGCCAGTTCTCACTGACTCTTCCGCTCCTCTCTGGGCACCAAGGCTCAGAAACCCACCCATATTAGGGGAAGCAAAGTGTTGCTTTATCTGTGCCGTTCAGCCAACTCTGCCATCTCCCTCCCTCCCCACAGACTTAAACAAGAAGACTGTAGCCCAATGGTACAGATCAGATTGCCACAAGATGGCACCCTACAGACTGGGCAGACTACAACCCCTCTTATCCCCCACTAGCACCCCATGCTGGTTGGTGACTACGGATGTTGACGTATGTGCCTAAACATACTACAGATGATTTGAGGTGATGACTTGTCCCGTAGCACCATGTGGTGCTATGGGACAACCACTGTAAACAGGATAGCACACATCATCCGTGAACAAAGAAATGTCAAGAATTGTCAAGGATTGCCCAGGTTCAAGGAGGCCCACGTTAGCCACTCAGCCACAATATCTTAGCTGTCCTGGTGTGGGTGAAACTAGAAGCCAAATGTGTTGATGGCAGGGGGAATCCTCCTGCCTTGCAACCTCCCAACATCTTAGTACAGTGCATCTGACCCTTAGGTCCTCAGATGTTCTTGGATAAAAAATCTCAGAAGCCTTCACTACTAGGGAGTTGTAGTCCAAGAACATCTGGGGACCCAAGGTTTGGAACGGCTGCCTTAGTCTAACCAGCCTAAGCAGTACTTCCAGGAAATTTCCCAAAACTTGCAAGGTTAACCATTCTGACTCTTATGCCCATCCTGGAGGAATAAATGCCACCACACCCACCAACACATACAAAATCCCTGTAGGTGGTCAAGGCAAGTCCTGGCTTTAAGTACTACAAATCCTCTTAATTCAAAAACGCTGTACGAAGAAATTTTGTATTTTATTAAAGATGGTGAAAAATTCAAAAAGAGCAAAAACGTTTTAAAACAGTTGCAAAGAAAAAAATATTTTGGAGCAAATAATCAATTTAAAGATTAAGGCAATTGCAATACAGAGCAAACACACAAGAAAATTAAAAAGCTACCTAAACTGTTCTGGCACTTACAGTCTAGCATAGCTTCAAAGCATACAAAAAGTGCATTCCTTCCCACAGGACAATAAACAAGCATGCCCTCTCCCAAGAAATAAGCCAATCAAAGCAACTTCTGAGTTCATTTTTATGCATTCAGCTTCTGCTTCTGGACTCTTCCAGAGCATCTCCCAATCAGGAGTCCAGTTACCTGCAACATTCACAAAGGCAAGAGCAGTTTCTGCCCTCTCTCCTCACGCAGCTGAAAACCATCTTCCCAATTAATTCACTAAAGAATGAACCAGCCTGGCCTTGAAGGCTGCTCTCACAACCAATAAGCTGAAGGTGTTCCTCCTTTCCAATTACTGGCAGGCAGTATCCCCCTTCTCTCAGCCAGCTTTCTCTGGCCACTGACTAAAAAGCCTGAATTTTCCAAAACAGCACCATAATCCCTCAATTCCCGTTTCTTGACAAAAGCCAATAGGTGAATTCTGATGATCCCAGAAAAGCTGTTTCTTTCACACTTTGTTAACCTGAATTCAATCTGGATTTCTTTTTTCCTAGAGGAAAAGCTGTGTGCAAAATACACTGGGGCGTCTGGAAAACACAGACATAATTGCACTCTTCTTATCTCATTTTGCTTCCCCCTTTCTGGAATATCCCACTCCTCTCCCTCCACAACACCTTACTCCCTAAGAGTTTGATACGCTTTGTTATAAAAAGAGAATGTTTGTTTCTCTTGAACATACCATTCTATTAACTACTACTGCCCACGTTGCTAAATCTCTAGGCATTTTGGCCAGGATCCAAAGGGTCACAGATGACGCACACCTAGAGACATGCACCCAGAGTTTTCCATCTCTCTGTTCCAGTGGCAGTCTCTTGTGCCCATGGAAAGCCAAAAGCTAAATGATCAGTGGTCATTTTACTAAGTGCAAGGAACTGCCTCTAGAAGGGGGGGGGGGACTAGCCATGACCTGCTTCAACACAATGAGCTGTCCATCTTGCTCTCTCATAGCATCATAAAACCAAAAGATTGCTTCAATCCACTATAATCCTCTCCAAACAAAGAACAGATATGCTCTGCCAACATAACAGAAAAACCTCTCCAACAGGAAAGAGGGAGAGATTGCAGAAAAAATTGCAAGCTTAGCAGAATGTGTAACTCTTTCCTCATTGGATTCTGGGTACATACTTACAGAGTAAACAAAGTGGCCACAACCACGCTGCATTTTCCACTTATAAATTGGGAAGTGGAGGGATGCTGTAGGAACTGGTTATAATAGTATAAAATGGATTTTCTCACAGTCTTTACATGAAGCCAAAGCAAAACTGCATTTTAAAGAAAAGTCAGATTCCTGAGTTAGACCCTCAACAAGACTTTGCTTTTGTCAAATCCCTCTAGCGTTACCTATTATATGTGCATCCTACTAGAACTCATGGCAGGAGACTTGAGCGTGATCAGTACCCATCTCAGGTACCAAGAAGGCCTAGACTTGCTTAGGTTGGAAAAACTGATATTTTTCTGGCCATTCTCCAAGTCAGTAGTAGCTTTACGTATTTGTAACAACTCACCCACCTGTTGAAAAACATTTATTATTCTTTACATCTAATTAAAAATTTCCAGTTTTACCACCAAAGCCTCCGGTTCTCATCAGGCCACTGTGACTCAGCTGCATCTTCTAATGAAAGAGACGCTGCAACCAAGCCATTTAAAAAACTGTTGACTCTATAAGTGGTGTGATCAAGAGCTGCTGGATAGCTCAGTGGTTTAGATTCCTGGCTGCAGAACCAGAGGTTGGGAGCCTGATTCTCACCACTGCGCCTCCCTGACAGGGGCTGGACTCGATGATCTAGAGGGTCTCTTCCAGCTCTGCAGTTCTAAGATTACTATTAATAGCTTTCTGATGTCATCTGCCAACTCCTTTGCCAAATGACAAGAGTCTTTCTTAATCAGGTGTCAGAAAACCCAGTATTTTCCACACGCTTAGAGGGGAGCAGCTAGCAATGTCACTCTTCATCTCTGCTTTCTTCATGGGATCACCAATGAGTAGGAAGAGGAGAAGTTCCTGTTCTTGTGGAGACTCTCCACATGAGCAAGAACTCGAATCTTCCAGAAATCTCTCCTTTCCAGTTCACTGGTGACTGTGTGATGAAGGCAACTGTGAATGGGCCAGGGCTAGGCCACCTAAGCTATTATCATTCCCCAAATATAACAGCCACACTTTATTGACACTTGCTAGTTGAAAACGTGTGAGTGTGCATAGAAAAATGCACGACTGAGGCAGGTTTGGGAGAGCTGAAACTGATGCCCTGTTGGGGATGCGTCTCTTTTCTCTACAGTTTCACTTAAATTTCTATTTGCTCTAAGGAACTCTCAGTTACTTTTTTTGTGTTTTGCCTTGTACCTCTTGCCTGATTCTCAATTTCTCCTTAACTGAGTGTTTCCTGAGGGTGGTTCTGGTAGTAACTGAATACCTTACAGACTGAAGGAAGGAAGAACAAGTTATCCTAATTATTGTCCTCTTCAATCTCTTGCAATTAGCTAACTGATTACAACATTCTAATTTTTCCCCTTTACTTAATCAGGTACTCATATTATTCTGACATACCAAAATGACATTATTGGAAAATAAAAATGGGATTGCTCTGATAGATGTGGGCAGATGTTCTAATAAAACAAGAATCTGAGACCCTCATAACAAGCAGGAAAGGCCTAGCTGGTCCACTTAGCTGGTCAGCAGATAAAATCAGACCGTGAAATTGAGACGCAGCCTCTCGAGGGGCAATCAAATTACAGCCAAATTTATAACATATTTATCCAGAAGCAAGTTTACCTGGCATTCTGTAGTCCTCTACGTTGCAAATATATCCTTCCTTCCAAAATTATTAAAAAGAAATTTTGAACAGTACAATAATTTTTATGATTAAACAGCAAAGCCAACCGTTATTTTAAAAATGGGTCCTTGCTTATAATCTGGAAAACAAAAGGAGCAGCAGAAGATGAAACCAGCCTCCTGCTGCTCCACCTCTGAGCAAGCAAACCACCTCTTGTCAAGTGACTGTTTCAACCTGGTTATGTGTGGCCGGGCCACCCGCACAAGAGTATCACCTGGCTCTAAGCCGATGCTCCTCAAAGCTTACCTTTGCCTTGTAGCCTGTGACAGAAGAGATAATTAATCTGACTGGGCATTTACAGGGGAAATTAATAGGATCTACTGCACATTATGAGCAAGGCTGCCTCAAACTATTAGAGGAGGAAAGTGGTTTACTCAAAAGTGCAATGGCTTTACCAAAGCAGAATAAAGGAGAGTGTGATGGGTCCATGGGGTGTATGGAAAGGGAGCAACATATCCTGATCACCATGGAAATGAAATCTAGCAAGATCTAAACACCATAGCAAGTGTTCAGCCTTTTGAAATGTAAATGATAGGTTGCAATTCTTATAGCTTGTAGAAAAAAAGCAAACACTTTGTAAAGCCTAGAGCCTTCTGTCTGCAAAGATTCAAGCATGCCCATGTTCACTTGCATAATTCAACATGCATCTAGAGCAGTCTGCGCACGCACACGCACACACCCAAAAAAGAATTACAGATTGGATATTTCTTGGCTGTCAAGTGCTGCTAGACTACAAAATTGTACCCCCACCGAAGCATGTAGGGCATAACCTATTGAATTCTACTCCACTAAGAAAGCTGTCTCAGACCTTTCTTTTGCTCCTTCAGGCTAGCATACCCACATGCTAATGGTAGAATAACAGGCATGGACTAACCAAAGATAGCATCTTACATAATACCCTCAGTAACTACCATTGTTTCTTATCATTATACAGATTAGTTTATCTTTCTCACCTTTTGGGATTGTCAGGACTTCACATTTTCAGAGTCCCAGCTATTATGAAGGCTTTAACTCCACCAGAGCACATACCAATTGCTCTGGTGGTGATTTCCCAAGGCTAGCCATGCTAACAGGTTGTAGCAAGAAAACTGAAACCCTTGTGGCACCTTGATGGCTAACATTTATTACAGCATAAGCTCTCCTGTGAGTTTGGTATTTGGTACAGAATAGGTTACAGATCTTCAATAGCTTAAGGAAGCAATTTTGAACATATTTACAGTCTCTTTTAATTCAACAACACTTCCTCCTGAATAACCAGACTTTAAAAGAAGCTCTCCAACTGTTTTGTCTGCTGCTTTACACTTTTACCCTTTCTAATGTTTAGCAATTTTGTTAATTTTTGTCTTTATTTCTTTTTTATTTCTTGCTAGTAACTGCTCTACACTGGCAGAAAGAAGGGGAAATAAATGTAAATAAACAAGTAAGTCTTAGTACATCCAGTAAGAGAAAGTTTTGACCCCTAAAAATACCACCTTCCCATGTCCTGATTGGATCAAGATGGACGTGCAGGTGGCTAGGGCAGGTTGTGCCTTCCTTTTGTCACCGAGGTAAGGTGAAGTCCAGGCAGGATGCAGGAACAAGATGCCAACGCACAGGAACACACAGAGGCAGCTGACCTGCGGTGCCATTAAGTGCACCAAACATACACACACGTAAACGCGGAAAGGACATGGAAAGGGGAGGGGATGCCCAGGGTGGCGGGAGTGACTCTGCGCCCCGCTTGAACCAAGTGCCCACCTTCTCCCTCCTCTTTTTGACGAGGCTTCCCTTTCCGTTCCTTTTCCGTTCCTTTCCTGAAGGGCAGAAGCCGTTTTCCGTCCCGTACCTTGCAAGGGGCACGCTACGGTTCGCCCCTCTCTGGACCCGCTACCCCTTTGAAGGCCCGCGTTCGGAGTCACCTGAAGGACCTGAAGACTCCAAGCTGCCCCAATGGGCAGGGCCCAGCCGTCGCCCGCCTCCTGGGGGAGGGGTGCGGGTGGGATGATGGGGGGGGAAGAGAGGCAGAAGAGGCTTCCCCGCAGAGGACGGGAAGGAGCCGGCAGAGAGGCACAAACCGAGCGCGAGAGACTGCCCCCCCATAGACAGCAACAAACCTGTGGCACGTGGAGGGAGGGGAGGGCGCGAGGGCGGCCGGGAATTGTAGTCCTCAGGGCTCTCGGCGCGGAGCATACCCCCTGGTGAACTACAACCCCCAAAATGCATGGAGGGCGGAAGAGGCACGGGAGAAAGATGGACGTGGTGGAAACAGCGCCACACACACACACACCCCGGTCTTTGCGGCTTTTTTGTTTACAATAAAGGGAAGGAATGGGGCGGGTCAGGGGGTCGGCGCTCCACGTAACATAAACCACCGTCTATACAGTATTTCATTTTCCTTCTTCATGCCTGCCGAAGTGGACGTGCCTGCGAAAGCTTACATTAAAATATAAATTGTTAGTCTTTCAAGGTGCCACATGGCTCTTGTCGTTCTTGTTTTGTTGGATTTTGCTTGATCCGTTTGCACAGACTTAATACGGCGACCTCTTCTCAAAATAGGCCACCCCGGACATTATGGGGGGACGACTTTTTCTTTTCCCCCTTTCTTCTGTTACGCCCTTGTTTTGCTAGTGGTCCCAGAATAAGAGACGGGCTTAAGGGAGACCTTGGGGATCCCGAGTGCGCGCGGGCTCCCTTCCCACCCGGCCTTCCCTTCATTACGTGTTTTAAGGCACGGCGGCCAGTGCCCGGGAATCCTGGTCATCAGCCCCGTGCGTGCCCAGCTTTCTGGTTCCCACCCCCCCGCCGGAAGAAAAGGCGACCGACACCTTTTCGTTAGGCTCTAACGTGATTTAGCGCTGCAAGTACGTATTATGTGGCATCCAGGTGGATTCCTAGTGAAGGAAGTGGCCAGCTTTTGCTTTCTACCCTGGGGTTAGCACCGGGTCCTTGCTAGAGCGTGTGTGTTTTTGCAGTGACTGTGAAACAAACCTGTGAATGATGATGTTAATCGCGCATTTTACCAGTTTATTTTTATACCCACGACTTGGGAAAAGAGCTCTGCCGGATCCAATGAGATTACCCTCAGACCAGGCATATACTGTAGATTGCACTGCTCGGCTACAGGTAAATGCCCTTGGAAATCCGCGGGTCTTCCTTCCGGTGTAGACCTGCACAGTGATGCTCTCTTCGTTGCTTTTTATAGTTCTTAACTACCAAAGTACGTTGAGCGACGAAGGAATACAGGATTTTTTTTTAAAAAAAAATGGCCGAAGTGAACAAGAAAATCTGGACGTGCTCAACAGCCAACTACGGCTGCTCTTACTGGTAATGCAAGCTGGAGTCAGGTGGGGGGACGCTGCGGCTCTTTTTTTTGGCTGCAATGCTCAGTGTGTCCAGTAGAGGTCGCAAGAGCTCCGTCTTGAACGGACTCTCTTGCGGAAAGCAGAATCCTCTCGAATCAGATTCGCGCCCCTAGTGGTTAAACCCTAAGACTGCGGTGCAAGTACAGTACTGTATTAACGATATCCTAGACTGCGATCCGATGTACAGTCACAACCGTGCACCCTTGGTTTCAGGAGAAGGTTCCGATGCCATACAAAGTACAATGCCATGAGATTCGAATAGTCATGGCGTATCAAGCAGATAAACCCCCCAAAATCCCCATTTTGTGAATCTCTCTATGAAAAGCAAGGCAGGTATGAGAGAGTTCTTGCCCTCCTGGTCCTTGCCAGGATGGGCAACGGTAAGCCACTGTGTGAATTGTCAAAAATGTAATTGTTAGGACCAAAAGTTTCCCGATCAGGACGGGGACCTCCAGTTACAGAGGATGTCTCCACACACTACAGCGGACCTGGGCAAAGTGCGGCCCGAGCCGCTCCTGTCTGGCCTGTGGACAGTCGTAATTGTTAGGACCAAAAGTTTCCCAATCAGGACGGGAACCTCCAATTACAGAGGATGTCTCCACACACTATAGCGGACCTGGGCAAAGTGCGGCCCGAGCCGCTCCTGTCTGGCCTGTGGACAGTTTTGAATATCAAAATCATAGCTTTTTTGTCTAAAGTTGAACAGTTGCTTATCTTTAACATACTGCAAAAAAACCCTCTTTAATATTTGTGAAGATTAACATGTTTAAAATAAAAACAATCATAACATCACTGTTTCATTTTATTTTAAAGTAAAGTTGGTTTGGCCCCCAAACACAGTTCAGATTTTTCATGTGACTCCCTTATAGAAATTAATTTCCCACCCCTGCACTACAGGATGTTTCCAGTCATTTCCAAGTTATGATATATATAGTAATTAGGGCTCACTAATAAAAAATGAACTGTGGGGTTAGTATCTCTGAGAATCTCAGGGGGGAAAAGCAAACGGATTGTTCCTGTATCAAACAAAGAAGAAAAGCATAGATGGATGGATGATGAAACTCTTAAACATGTTAGCAACAGATGAGAAACAAAAGTAAAGATGGTCAGAAACAGTTCAGGATCCTAAATGCAATTTATCAGAGACTGGACTAAAAGAATTATTATAACCAGTGCAGGCAAACAAAACAAAAGAGGAAAAATGAGATATCTCTTCCATAAGATCTGATAACGGTAAATCAAAATGGAATTTCAACTAAGTTTCGGGTTGATCAAAGATGACAGGAAGTATATGACCAAGGTAAAATAAAGAGAAAATGGAAATGTATACTGAAAAACTATAGACAAGAGATGCAAGATTGACAGAGTCATTCAAAGGAGACTCCTCTGATGAAGAGCCTGCAATTGGAGAAATTAAATGGAAGCAAGTCTCAAAGCTCTTGAAAGAAGAACACCACCAAGAGTAGATGGGATAACAATGGAACTCAATCTATCAATGTCCTAACAACAATATGTCAACAATAAATATGTAAAACAAATCAGTGGCCCACAGACTGGAAATGATCAATTTACTGTATATTTGTATCTCAAAGAAAGGAGACATCAAAGGGTGCAGTAAATAGAGGAGCACTGCATTAATTTCCAGATGCAAGGAAAGTGATTTTTGAGATTTTACAACAAGGGCTTTTACCACCTATCCAGGAAGAAATGCCTAATGTTCAAGCTGGATTCAGAAAGGGATGAGGCATTAGAGATCATGTGGTAAAAATATGCTGGCTACTGGAGTGCATCAAAGAATTTCAAAAGGAACTAATTCTGTGCTTTACAGGTTACAGCAAAGCCTTTGGGTGGATCATGGAAAACTGTGGAACATTCTAAAAGAAATAGGCATGCCATAATGTTGGGTGCTACACTCAATATGCCAGCAAGTTTGGAAAGCACAGCAGTGGCCAGAGGCTTGGAAAATATCAGTCTACATCCCAATCCCAAAGAAAGGCAGTGCCAAAGAATGCTCCAATTACCGTACAATTACACTCATTTCACACGCTACCAAGGTTATGCTCAAAATCCTGCAAGGTAGGCTTCAGCAGTATGTGGACCGAGAACTCCCAGAAGTACAAGCTGGATTCCGAAGAGGCAGAGGAACTAGAGACCAAATTGCTAACTTGAGCTCGATTATGGAGAAAGCCAGAGAGTTTCAGAAAAATATCTACTTCTGCTTCATTGACTACGCAAAAGCCTTTGACTGTGTGGACCACAGCAAACTATGGCAAGTTATTAAAGAAACGGGAGTGCCTGACCACCTTATCTATCTCCTGAGAAATCTATATGTGGGACAGGAAGCAACAGTTAGAACTGGATACGGAACACCTGATCGGTTCAAAATTGGGAAAGGAGTATGACAAGGCTGTATATTGTCCCCCGGCTTATTTAACTTATGTGCAGAATACACCATGTGGAAGGCTGGACTGGAGGAATCCCAAACTGGAATTAAGATTGCTGAACGAAATATCAACAACCTGCGATATGCACATGATACCACTCTGATGGCAAAAAGTGAGGAGGAATTAAAGAACCTCTTAATGAGAGTGAAAGAGGAGAGCGCCAAAAATAGTCTGAAGCTCAAAAAACTTCAGACTTCAAAAACAACAACAAAAAAGATCATGGCCACTGGCCCCATCACCTCCTGGCAAACAGAAGGGGAAGATACAGAGGCAGTGACAGATTTTACTTTCTTGGGCTCCATGATCACTGCAGATGGTGACAGGAGACAAGAAATTAGAAGATGCCTGCTTCTTGGGAAGAAAGTGATAACAAAGCTAGACAGCATTTTAAAAAGCAGAGACATCACCTTGCCAATAAAGGTCCACATAGTCAAAGCTACAGTTTTTCCAATAGTAATGTATGGAAGTGAGACAGATCTGGATCTGGAAGGACAGATCCTGAAGCTGAGGCTCCAGTACTTTGGCCATCTTATGAGAAGAGAAGACTCCCTGGAAAAGACCCTGATGTTAGGAAAGTGTGAAGGCAAGAGAAGAAGGGGACGACAGAGGACGAGATGGTTGGACAGTGCCATTGAACCTACCAACATGAATTTGACCCAACTCCGGGAGGCAGTGGAAGACAGGAGGGTCTGGTGTGCTCTGGTCCATGGGGTCACAAAGAGTCGAACATGACTTAATGACTAAACAACAAAAATGTTATTAGTCCTGGAATATACAGTAGCTTGTATTTGGGGCAAAAAATTGCTGTTAGGACAGAAAATTGAGAATCAGAATGGTTTCCTATTCACAAAGATGTCAGACAGGTATGTATTTTATCCTCCTATTTACAGAGCACATCATGTGAAAAACTGGATTTAAAATAAGCAGCTAAGACCATATTACTAGCAGAAAACAGCAATGACTTGAAACTATGACTGTGAAAGGTTAAACAAAGTATTACAGTTAAACATTAATATGACAAAAATCATGAGTGCTGAAGAATTTTATAACCTTGATTCAGTCCTTAATCCAAAGGGAAACTGCAGCCAAGAAAACAAACAAACAAACAAACAAACAAAACCAAGGCTAGGAAGAGCAACTTTAAAGGAAACAGAAAATATTCTTAAGAGCAAGAATTAGTCACTGAAGACCAATGCGCCTCTTCAGCCAGTCTGTGGCTCAAAGCTGGTATGCCCTCAGTAGAATACCAGGTGTGGCTACGTGCATTTCATTATTGGTTAAAGGTGGTCTGTGGCCCAATAA